ATCAAGCAATAACAGCCCAGACTCTTTGAAAGCTTTCATTTTTATAGAAATAGAAATTATGTATGCTTTTTGCATATTTCAAATGACAAATCAACTGAAAGGCACTACATTTTTGTGAATATAAAATACATTACAGTAATTAGGGTACGTGTTGTTGTACGTTTCAGATACACGTCATTGAGAATGTCGGGCTTGTCTTAGGAAACCACTAGGATACCACTGACCTCAAACTTTCTCTAAACCAACCAACCAATAGTATTTTTTAAAAGCAAATATAAGCAAAAAAAAAAGTGTAGTTTTACCTTGATTTTGATTACTTTCATCTCTATTGTTGGACCATGCTTCACATTGACTTGAACGACTTGGTACTAAAACTATCTATCTAACTATCTTACAAAAAGCCCCATAGCATTTAGCATTTACGTAGAAAAGGTAAATTGTTTCTATAAAAATGTATGGTTTAATAATTGAGTGTGTGCGACACAATTGTATAAGTCAAAAAAAAAAAAAGAAAAAAAAGAAAAAGAGATGTGACAATAACTGTGTGTGCATATTATGTGGACTTTGTATCCACAAACAGTTTGGCGATATTTTTGCGACCATGAGCCTGCATTTTAAACATTAAAATAGTGCCACACAGAAAAAAAAAAAACGTTTATGTCCACTAAGAATAATCGAGATGCCGCTTGCTATCATGTCCACTTTGACCATTAAAAGGCAAAACCACTGCAAAAAAGGGAGAGCCGACATGAACAAATGGAAGGACAGAGTAAGGAAGGTTTTGAGGGATGCTGGGAAACCATATTTGACTCAAAGAGGAAAACAAAAATCAGGGAACAATCCACCGAAAGAGATGAGTGGAAGATCTGTGTGTAACGTGATCTCTATCGCTCTCTGAACGCGCCGAGAAGCGCTAACCACCAAAAAAACATTTAACCTATCCATATATAACCATATATCAATGGATATTTCCTGCCAGTCCTGTGTAAATATGGCAAGCAGAGTTTATTTGTTTATAGATTTATTTATATCATGAGATAGCAGAGCGCAAAAACAGTTTGAAGTAGTACAGTATATACACAGGTGTGCTGCACCAGCTTTTCAAAATAAACGACAAGGGGCACAACTGGACCTATCTAAAAATAAAAGAGGTGATCAAAAGTTCAGAGACTAAGCCAATCACGATAAAGATTTATTTATTTATTGTTAATAACTGATTGATATTGCCTGTACTGTAAGAAGGTCTATGCATTGTACATTGCACATACTGTGTTTTCTGTTTTTGAATAATAATAATAATAATAATAATAATAATAATAATAATACAACAACAACAACAACAACAAAAACAACTACTACTACTTCTAACTGAGTTTGCATGTTCTCCCCGCGTTCGTGTGGGTTTCCTTTGGGTGCTCTGGTTTCCCCCACAGTCCAAAGACATGTGGTACAGGTGAATAAGGTAGGCTAAATTGTCTGTTGTGAATGAGTGTGTATGGATGTTTCCCAGAAATGGGTTGCAGCTGCAAGGGCATGCGCTGCTTAAAACATGTGCTGGATAAGTTGGCGGTTCATTCTGCTGTGGCGACCCCGTATTAATAAAGGCACTAAGCCCAGAAAAAAATGAATGAATAAATCAATAATAATAAATATTAATAATAATAAACTTGAAAAAAAAAATCTTAATATTAACCTGACATTTCTGTTACTGTATTAAAACTAAGATAAAGGAATCAGATCTTCAGTGCGTTAAAGTGTTGAATTGGAGTTCTAATGTTATTCCACACTAACTAGCCATACTGTTCCTCCACATTTGAGAAATATAAATCACAGTAACTGTATTTTTAATACTGACAATGAAAAATCTCCTTAGAATTGTGAAGCTTTTGTTGTCTATCTTCAAGTAAAGCAACAATATATAATATAATGTACACAACCCAAATGAAAAAAAATATCTTTTTTGATATGGACTTATGGTTGAACAATATGGACTTATTTGTTTCTTTGTCTCAAGGCCTCAGTTGTGGTTTTACAAAAATGTCGGTTGTAGCACATTTTTTTAATGAGCCTGCATTTAAGTAGTAAAAAAATTTCTTTTTGTTTTTGTGTTGTTGAGGTTTATGTTTGTCTGAGATCTTCTAAATCCTAATCAACAATAAACAAAGTTTTTTTTACATGAGCATGAAGTGTTTACATGAGCATTAGCTATTAGCAGCTATTAGCCAAGAATGCTACTCATTACTTTTTTTCTGGCTCGTTACTCTATATGGTCACTTTGGTTCACAGCTGAGAGTTTATTGTAAATGCTCAATTATGGTTTTTGTGTAAAAACAGTGGTATAAATCTTACAATTTGTCTTAGCTTGATGCTTGATCTAATGCATCGGTCAAACAAGTGTGATCATATTTTAATGAGGTTTGCTGTTAAAAGAATCCACAAGGTCATATGAAAGTGTTTTATTTTGTTTTCTAGAAAGGTTTTTGCTGGTGAATATTTAAAGGCACCAAATATAGGCTTTTCTAGCTTTAAAGCTGGTTTGCTACATGTCTCAGCTAGCATGGAAGATATTTTCAGATTTTCAAAAGCATTTGGTCTGGATAACATCTGTGTACAAAGGCCCTGTATAAAAATCTTTAAGGAGGTGGTCCTTTATGATATCATATTTTAAACTTTAGTGGATGTGTAATGTAACTGTGTGAACATAAACAACATCTTTTTATGTAATACCCTCAAAGTTCAATGCAAAGGGGGAGACAAAGGCTTTTACACAGTTAGCTCAGCAAAGCATACACTGAACAAAGTTTGGGGAGTAAAAAAAAATACATTCAGGTTAATGATGTAATAAACCCTTCAGGTTACGCGCATTCACCCCATGCATTCACCCCGCATGACACAAAGAGAGAAGAGCTTACTATTTCATTTTAATCATGCTCCAGAGAATTATAAGAAATATATAGTTCTAGCATTTGACAAAGGACAGCTTCCAGAATATCGTCCAGTTCAGTGCTGGATTCAGCTAAAAACTCCTCAGAGAAGGAACAGCTTTAACCATAATAGACAAAGCTGTGGAATGTGAGTATGCTGTAGGAGGGACATAAACAAGGAGGCAAACAACGGGAAATGCTGTTTGCCATCGTTAAATTTAGCTACAAATTCATATTTATCCGTCAAACTGATGTAAACACCCACAATCTTCACCAGCGCTGCAGCGTCTCTCTATGCGGCTGCTTTCCGTGCTTTCTACATCTCAAATAACAAACTTGCAAAAGACGTGTGAACATTTCCTATTACTTACACATGCTTATAACCCGAATACATATGAAAGACACTTGTCAGATTTAATTTTAGAGAATTAGTTCAGCTGCGTCCTTTAAATTTTCTGTCTGATTCAGGCTCAAACTGATACTGCTAATAGTTTCTCTGACAGTATTTACACAGTGGCAAAGCACGTGTCTAGAGGCGTGATGCTTTCTGGTGACGTGAAGCCGATCCGCAAATCACAGCACATTAGGTTAGATCAGACCAATCGGAGTCTCTTGTGGGAAGCATTAGGAGGAACTAGGAAATAGGAAAAGCGAAACTAGGAAAAAGGACAGTTGTTTTCCTGTTTGCTGAGTAGTAGTATATGATTAAAATAAGATATGTGAAAAAATAACATTATTTATTACAAATGAAGCATGAGCACACATGCTTAAAAAATACATGCTGGACCACCCTTTTAGGTCCTGTGAAGGAGCTAAGAGAGCTGTAATGAGTTGAGAAAACCCGTGCAAATAGAAATATCATCATCAGTTACGCACACAAATTCTCACAACTCTTTCGAATACAGAAATGTTTTGCAGACTATAATAGAAATGCATTGGGGATCCCGAAAAGTCGTTAACCTGCTTGTTTCCAGTTTAGAGTCAGACTCAGCAGTATTGTTAATTGTGCCAGACGTCAGATTATTAGGACTAAAAATATACAAACATCAAAGAACCGTGACCAGGATGTCAAAATATACCTAAAAATTCACCTCTCTTATTTCCAACAACACTTTTGATTCTAAAGAGGAAGCAGCAGGGTTCTAAACATTTTTGTTGTTGTTTTGGTGTGTTTATTTGCAGCCCATTTCTGTATTTGCGTGTACTATGATAATCTGCATGCACGTATTTTGACCAAATTGATAAAGATGCAAAAGTTTTCTCAACTTAAAAGATGTTAAGCTCTCTCAGACACCACATCCGACAGAATATCCAACAAATATTTATTTTTTAATTCAAAACATTTCTGTTAATAATTTTTTTGTATTTATTTTTATAAAATGTCACATTTAATATTAATAATAATAAGAAATGTGGGTGTGTCAATATCCTAGTGGGCAGTGCACCCCCCTTCCCTCCCAAAAACAAAAATGTTTCTTGGGCATTAAGATATGAAGTGTATTAGACTTTAGGTAATAACTGTTGAAATTCCTTAACGTCATAGAATATATATATATATATATATATATATATATATATATATATATATATACACATATATATATACATAATCCTCTTAAATCCTATTTACTTTAATACTTTTAAATACATATAATATGCAAAACACCTATTGTTATAGTATTTCATGCCTTTTTCCTGTATTTTAAACCAAATAAATGCAGCTTTGGTGAGCAAAAGATACATCACAATTCACACTCTTGATGTTAACATTTTAATTATTCAGTCAGAAATATTATACATATAATATTACAGTCTTGTTGTTGCCTCACCACTTATTATCAAATGTCAAACCTAAGCAAAACCACAAATCACAAATATTCCAGCGACATTTTCAGAGATTAAAAAGACCCTCTATATTGACAAGGCATAAATAAAGTAAAAGAGGGGGTAGCAAAACAATAGCCCCGCCCCTTCTTCTAGCTAACATATGCATGAGGCATCCATCCCCTGACTGACAGCTCGCCTCGACCAATCAGCTTGCACCAAACGCGCGAACGACAGGCAGCAATTTGCCTGTCCCCGGGGAAACTGGGAGGAGGGAGCGCGCACCAGCATGTGTGTATCATCAGAAGCGCGGCGCTGAAGGCTGGACGGACACGCGCTTCTCTTCTCCTCAGTCCGCCGAGCGCTCAGCATCCTTTTCCCGTATGGAGAGCGACTCCACATCTTACAAGCTCTCAAATAAAGCTACAATTCACGTGGAGCTAAATCTCAACAAAACCACACGATTCTGGAGCTCGTCCACGCGAAGGAGCGGAAAGGAATACATTATGCGTTTCAAACAAGGAATCTCATTCTCTCCGGTAAGCGCGTCTCTCTCACGCTTTCGTGACTCATGTGCATCTTTTCTGAGGGGGGATTTTAATAGCGAACCAATGCAGAGGTCGTACTGTATGCGCTCTTGATGTTTTAATAACTACATATGAGACTTGTATCACTTCTAAAATCATTTATTATCAATTTTTTTTATCATGTTTGTGATAAAAAAAAATCTATGCGTAAAAACGTCTTAATCTCGAGAAGAGACTCTACAGGTATCAAGAGGAGGAATAACGGAATCTAATAATGTGATGGAGGTTGTCATGAGGAAATTGAATTTTGTATGTGTTTGTGCGTGTGTGTGTTGGGGGGGTCATAAATTTGGCAATGCCTACCTTCATTATGCAATTAATTTGAGAATATATTAATATCAGTCTACATTTTTTTGTTATTAGTAGATTTGTATGATTATTATATTTTAGTCAAATTTTAAAGAGATTTAAATGTCAACTTTTAGTCAAAATGTATTATTTTTGTACAAATAAACAGCTGAGAAAGGCTGCTCTGTGTCTGCTCCAATTTTTTGTAAAGACGCAATGTCGCATTAAAGCCAGACTAAGTTAAAGCGGACACCTTAGTTTAAGTGTACAGTTGTAATTGCAGTCTAAATGCATTTATGCCACCTCAGAGCTGCATTCAAGTCTGCTTAAAAGCTTTACTTTGCCACATTTGTGGGGTAACATTGGCAATATAAACTGCTGAATTAAGGTGCCGCTGTGCCTGCTCAAAATTTAGTTTGAAGACGCAATGTCACATAAAAGTCAGACTAAGTTAAAGCGGCCACCTTGGTTTGTAGTGGAAACGTGTACAAGTGCAGTATAAATGCATTCATGCTACATCTGAGCAGTATTAATCATTCTTGGTAAATACATCAATTCTGTTGAACAGTTCTGTCCCACACTGCAGTGCAAATATGAGAACACTGAGCCGAAATTCTCGTATTAATTTACTATTATTCACCCTTATTTAACCTCCTGAGACTTTCATTACTCTTTAAAGCAATCTGAGATTCACTGATCCTCCATGGTCCCAACTTGTTCAAAGTCTAAAACGATGCCAAAAAAAAAAAAAAAAACAGGCAAAACCAGCCTGATCTAATGAGGAAACGTAACTATTTTAAATTTTGTCAGTTTAGTCGCTAATTTATACAAGTTCAGCCATACGAAAATGTAAGATTTTTAAAGGAGGCGTGACACCAAACCCCACCCGAAACCCAACTGTCATTTTATGAATGAGATTGTATGAATTCATACGAATTAACCACTAAATCAAAAAGTTACAAATTATCGTGAAATAGTTGGTCAAAACAGTCCATGTCTTTAGTGGTGCAATCAAAATATAATCGAGCTACGCGAACTCTTTTGTGCAAACATTAATAAAAAATAATGACTTTATGCAACAGTTTGTTCTCCTCAGTGTCAGTATATTGCGCATATTCATGAACACTGTGCACTGGATGCATTGCGTTACTTCCTCTATTTGAATCAAAGCACAGGTGAGGTAATAAGTAGGCCCATATGGAATTTGTGCACGCAGAAATCCACAGATTTTGAGCCCGTCAGTGAGTCTATTTATTTACCTGTGTAAATGTGTGTAAATTTACTCTTATTCAGTTTTTTAATTAATTTTAATATTATTATGATATAAGAATAATTAAATAAAAATGTTCATATGATTTAATTACAATACAGTTTGTAAAAAAATGTTCTGTCTTTTAGTAGATGAGAGTGAGTATCAGTATGCGAGACTTGCTTTGTTTACCAAATAAGTGGATCTAATTGGATTTGCATTGTAAACATTAAAAGCAACAACAAAAAAAAGTATTATTTGTTTATTTCGTATATGAAGTTTTTAGTTATGATACTCCTAAAATCATTCTACATAAATCCACAGATGTTTTACAAAATTCTCCGGAGAAATTGCCAAAAATGTCCGCAGATCCTCTCTGGCCCTAGTAATAAGTCAGAGTTATGACCAGGCACGATAATCATGCCCCCTATACTGACACTGAGGAGAATGAGCTATTGAAAAAAAACATTGTTGAACAAAATTATTCTTGTAGTTTGATAATATTTTGAATGAACCATGGAAGAAATACAGTCTGTTTGGAGGAAGTTTTGGAGGCGAGACTGTCTATGGAGGATGAGAGTGCTCTAAATCATCTTAGTTTGTATTTCAAAGATGATTGTAATTTTCATTTTAGTGTAAAGAAACATTTTAATGTGAAGATGCAATATTGCATAAAAGCCAGAGTAACTTAAAGCAACCCGCTTATTTTGTAGTATTTAATTGAACTGCAGTGTAAATGCATTCATGCCACCTCTGGGCTGCATTACTCAGTCTGCATAAACATACCTAAATGCTGCTCCAGAACAACTTCTGTGCCACTATTGTAGTGTAAATATGTCAATATACACAGCTGAATCAAGGATGCTTTTGTGCCAGCTCAAAATCTAGTATGAAAACCCTATGGGGTAACAAAGTTTCAGTGTATGGATTATAATCAAAATCTACTAACAAAGCTTAATGGAGGATAAAAATGACACATATTTAGTTTAAGCAGCACTGGTTCATGCCTAATGCGTATGAACAAAGTGTAGATGGGAGCAAAGAGAGAGCGAGAGAAAGAAATCAATAGGGACAATAGAGGGAAAAAATGCTAACATGTCTTGAGACAGGGCTGAAGAATATGCGACAGAAATAGCTGATATATCTATAGGGATTCTGTCAGCAGTGCTGAAGCGTAATTAATTGCTGTCATGCGGTGTGTTCACCAGCAGTGCGGAGAGCAGGTGAGAGCTGTTCGACTATATAACACACACACACACACACACACACACACACACACACACACACACACACACACACACACACACACACACACACACACACACACACACACACACACACACACACACACACACACACACACACACACAGGCCATGTCAGCATAGTATCTTATCTAATTACACTACACACTAGGCGTTTGAAGTGACGCCATGTAGGGTGATAGGAAACAATGCTGATATATTACAGCACGCTGGGGAAAACACACTCACCTAGCCATGCCGAGCTCATAACTCATGAAATACATTTGGTTAGTTTGTTGTATAATATGTGGACAGAATAGAATTACAGAGTAGAGAGAATAGAACTGAATAAGCATAATTGGAATAGAATAGAACTGAGTAGAACAGGATTAAACAGAAATAACAGAGTAGAAGAAAACCAAAAGGCCAAATAGAGTAGGCTACTGTGTCTGCAAAAAAAACAAAAAAAAAAAAAAAACAATTTTGAACTGAACATATCAGAAGATAAATAAGTAGGGATGCACTGATATGGGCATTTGGCCGATATCCATAACCGATAATTCTTAAGATTTTGAGGCCAGTAACCGATATATTTTAGCCTATAAATATAAATATTTCATCATTTGGCATTTTAGTTTCTTTTGAACACATATAGCTGCTGCTTGTCAGTCAATCAATACTTCTATGTTCGTTCTTGCTGTCTATTGCAGAAAAAATGATTGATAAAAGGTTTATGATCAACTGCTGTGAGTTTAAAACTTTAACTGCAGGCGCTGCATGATGCACATGCAGGTGAATCGGAGTCAGTTTGTCCTCGGAATTAGTATGAGGATAGCCATTATGTGCGCTCGTTGTAATCATTATAAATATGCTAATCAAACTGAATACAATCTTACGTTAACTACACATAGTAAGCATCGCGTTGATAATAACAAATAATCATATCAGATTCAAACCACCCAATGAGTTCTCGCTGCTATTATTTTTACACATTTAATATTTTTCCTGAGGTCATTTGAACCAAAATACACAATGACACTCTATCAAACATATCTACAATGATAAGGAATATGATTACTTGCTGAGTTATTAAAGCACAGCAATACCAAACAAGGCAAGGACAGACTTTGAAGGAATAAACATTGTGAAGAAAGCTCCGTTAAGTAGCCTAATTTTCATATCCAACATTTAGCGATAACATTTAAAATAGCATTTTTCGGCCGATATCAATATGGCCTCCAATATATTGTGCATCTCTAAAAAAATTTGATAAGAATATTATTATTGAGTAGAATAGAATGAAATATCGAAAACAGAGAATGCAGAACATCACAGAAGAAAATAATAGTTTATTTGCCAAAAAAAAAGAAAAAGAAAAAAAAGAAATGAAACCTGTAACAGAACACACAATAAAACATAAATATATAGGAGACAAAGGGATGAAAAAGAAAAATAGTAGAACTGAGATCAGTAGAACAAAACTTAAAAGAACAAGTTAAAATGGAATATAACAGAATATAGAACAATGCAGAATGCAAACTATTAAAAATAAATAAACTAGAACTGGACATACTGTACAGTAAAGCAGAGCAAACCTAAGACACAGAATAGAATACAAAAAGAAAGAATAGAACAGAATAGAGTACAACAGAATTAAATCACAGTATTCAATACCACAGTACAGAGACTTGAACACAACAGAAGATACATCAAAGTAAACCACAAAAGAATAGAGCGGAAATCAAAAAAGTAGAATATGACATTTTAAATAGAATCCGGTGAAATAAATTATATCATAATATAAAACTGAATAAAATGGATTACAAAAAAGAAATAGAACAGAGCAGAATAAATCCTCAAAAGAAATGGAGTAAAACTGAGCACAGCACATATTGAATAGAACATAATTGAATAAAACACAGATTAGATTGAAATAAAACAAAATTTAAACAGTGAAGAATAGAAGAAAACTCTATTATTTAATAATAATTTGACATAGCATGGCAGAGCAGACTCAGAGTAGGCCAAATTAGAAATGAGCTGAAAACAATATGATTTTGTTAAGTAGAATAGCATGGAATAGATAAACGAGAAAAGAGTATAGCAAAGTAAAAACAATAATAAAAAAACAAAATAATCAAAATAAAACAGAACTGAAAAATGCATACTGAAA